CCCCCGGCCCCGCAGTGCTTCTGCCCCTACAAGGTTCGTGCCGCCACAGGGGAGGGTCCCGGCCCCCGGCTCCGCCCGGCCCCTCCCCGCCTTTTAGGCACCCGCGCGCCTGAGACCTCCCAGTCCCGCCCGGCCCTCCTCGCCTGCTGCCCGAGCGCCCGGTCCTCGCAGCCAGCACCGTCCACTAGGCCTGTACTGCCCACCGGCCCGCCCCCCGCCGCAGCCATGGACGCCATCAAGAAGAAGATGCAGATGCTCAAGTTGGACAAGGAGAATGCCATCGACCGTGCTGAGCAGGCAGAAGCCGACAAGAAACAAGCGGAGGACCGCTGCAAGCAGGTGGGGGCCTGCCCCTCCCGCCGCCGAGGACGCGGAGGACCCTGTGTCCCCCAGCCTCAACACCCACCAGAGCCTGGGGAGCCCCAACCTCCAGCTTCTACTTCTGCCCTTGTAGAAAGGCCCTGCTCTCCATCTTGGGCTTAAAGTTTTCCCTCTCCCCAACCCAGGTCCCTCCAACTTCTGATTAGATTGCCCTTCCTCTGTCACTCCTCTTACGACGCACCAACCTCGAGATCTCTTAGCGCTTCTTCCCACACATACGTCTACTTAAATCGGTTTGTCTTTCTGGGCCCTAGGCTCCTACCCAGGCATGACTGACCAAAGCCTTTCTGTCTCAGTTGGAAGAGGAACAGCAGGCCCTCCAGAAGAAGCTCAAGGGGACAGAGGATGAAGTGGAAAAGTATTCTGAGTCCGTGAAGGATGCCCAGGAGAAACTGGAGCAGGCTGAGAAGAAAGCCACCGACGTGAGTATGGGCCTGGGGGTGGTGGGAAGAGGAGAGGCCTGCATGGAATGAGGAGTGCAGACGACACACAAGTGCACCTCCTTCTCTCCAGCACTAGGACAGAAAGGGTTTCCTCTTAGGAACCCAAATGATATGGGCAAGCTTGCACAATAATCCGACATCTGGTAAATCAGAACCCTTACTAATACCTCTGGATCACTTGGCCTTTTAATTCAGTTTGATTCCAGCTCTCAGAATGCACAAGGAATCATTGTGGGAGCCAGAGGGTGGTGTCAAACTTTACCATCTACCTAGTTCATTCTCTGAGTAGAAATAGAAGACTACAAATCAATTTGTGAGGTATCTGTGGAGGATGGAAGCAAGTTGTGACAAGAAATGGGTACAGGAATCCAATGGTAGGACCCTGGCTTGAATTATACTCCTGAGGGGCCACTAGAAATTCCCTGGCCTTGACCTCTGGCTCCAGTAACCCTGCTGTGTTCCCCAGCTCAGGTTCTAATGGCTCCTTATTTACCCTCATTAAGCTGTCAGCCGAGAGACCCTGCCAGGCCGCAGGGCAGAAGGACAGAGCCACAAATACCTTGGCAGGTCCTGCTCATGCTGAGATTTCTCTGCCTACCCTTATCCTAACCTAGCCAGGCTTCTTCACTTCCTGCCAGTCCTAATCACCTCCTTGTGGTAGGAAAACAGCCATGCGGACATAAGCACCTTCTCCATTCTCTGGCTCAGTTTTCACATCTACTGCCTCTTGGAGGTTGTTTTAAGATTAAGATGAGCCTGTGGTTCGGGAGTGTGGAGGGCTTAACATAAAGCATGGACAGAACATCAGAGATGGCATCACTGTTTGTGTTGACCCTTCTCCATGTTCTCCAGTTTCCCCAACTCCCACCCCAGGGATGATTCTCTCTGACCTCCAGCCTTCGGTTTTGCTTCACCACCAGCCTTGGCACTTGGGAGGGGCCTGACCTGCAGCTGCTAGGGAAGACGACCCTGGGCATTTGACACTCTATAAATAACCAAGGCCCAGTGCAGTTGGAGACCAGACTGGAAACCCAAGGAGCATGGTGGGGGCAGGAGGGGAGGCAGGTTGGACAGGGACAAAGCTAGGAAAGCAAAGCAGTGGTGCCAACAGCAAATGGGAAACGTTGCCTACACTTACTGTATGACCTTGAACACAGCACATAGCGCCTCAGTTCCTCCCTTCTCTCTGGCCTCTTTTGTCCTGTCCCTTGGTTAGGGAGCAGCATCTTAACTAGGAGGAGCTTTGAGGAGCAGGAAGGGCAAACACACAGAACGTGGGGACCCCAGTACTTTCTAGACCCAGAGTCATTCTGTCCCACCACCACTGTAAAAAGGGCTTTCTTTTGTAGTCTCACATCTCATAAAATAGACCCTAAGGTTCCCCCAGAATTATTCTTCCCAACCCCCAGTGCTGTCCCCAGAATCCTTCCACACTGAATCACGTGGCCCTGTGCCCATGATGAGCTCTTGCCACTTTGGGTGGCCATGCTCCAAGACCTTTCAGCACCTGGAGGACCAGCTCCAAGCTGCATTCTATATATGGTGCTGAGCTCCTGCGGCCCACCCAGCACCAGCCAGAAAGCCCAGGACCTACTTTCTGCCCGCCTGCCTCAGTGCAGTCACCCAATAGCCGCCATCTCTGTCCCTCTACTCACCCTTTCCTTATTGGTTTCCATTCCATCACCATGGTCCTTTATCTTATCCCATCGTTAGTTTCAGGGTTTCTGTGTCTTTGTCTTTGAGGAAGTTGTTCTTAGGTGCTGTTGAGTCAGCTCCTGCTAACAGATTAGATCCATAACAGAAAGAAGCCCTGCCTCATGGGACAGGGGCAATCTAATGCTTAGAGTGCTGATTCTGTCGGCAATGTGTTCAAGTGTTTTCTGCATGTTGATTTATTGCTTCTGGTTCCTAAATAAGAATCATCATCAGAATTACTTGGGAGCTTTAAAAAAGAGAGAGCAAGAGAGAAACTTCCCAAGTCCCAACCTTGAAGATCCCAGATGAACAGGTCTCATATGGAGCTAGAGAACCTGATGGCTTGTTAAGCCTTCCAGAGTATCCTGCTGATTAATTAAATATGAGAAGCATGATCTTAGCACAGCCCTCTAAAGAAGGAACTGTTATGGCCAGCTCCAGTTTATAGAGAAGGAAACTGAGGCTTAGAGAGGCTAAATAAATTGCCCAAGGTCTCACAAGTGTTGAGTGACGGAGCTGTGACTCAGAGACAACATTCTGACCCAAAGCCAATGTTCTTAACACCAAACCTCACCGCTTCTTCTCATTTTCCATATTGGATCCCTCCGTGCTCTGTAATCTTTTTTTCAAGGTATCAGCAGTTTTCATGTACTTCCCCCAAAACCTTGCAAGGTTTCTCCTCCTATGGTGGTGTGAAGGACTGTCTGTCACTCACACTACCCCTGCCCAGCTGCCAACTGCTTCCTGGCCTTGGCAGGAAGCCTTGTGCTATAGCCATGGATTTCCACACCAACTGGGCACATTGTTTAGAGTCTGCGCAGCAGCCAATGACATCACAGAACTTGACTCAGTGATTGGCTATTTTTAGTAGCAGTAAGATCAGGTTGGCCTAATTCTCCACCACCTTTACCTGGCACCTGGCTGTGCTGTAGAGGAATTGGGGCTGTCTCTGACCAGAGGGCATGCAGTACCTGTATACAAAGAACCATCAGGAAACTATTATTACTGAGTTCAGAACTGACTCAAAACTGACCTTCCAGTGGGTTTTCTAGAGACTGTAAAGGGCACAGGGGGAAATTGCCTGTTTTTCTCCTAAGGAGCTACTAGTGGATTCGAACCATCAGAGAGGCACTGCCATTGGGCTAGTTGCACAACTCCCTATAGCTGAGGCCACCAAAACGCCTAACTACACATAGACCAGAGAAGGACCTGGAGCAGGGAAGGGACCTTGACAGGGAATGCATGTTTAACTGGAGCCCAGTGTTTGTAAAGAAGATGGTAGGTTAGGAGAAGAATAGTTGAAAGTTTGGAAGTCGGTAAAGTTGGTTACTTCCAAATAGCCTTGCCATCCTTTGGAACCTCTTTGAACCTTATCCATGACATAGCCTTTCTGACCTCTGGCTTTTGACCCACAGGCTGAAGCAGATGTGGCCTCCCTGAACCGACGCATCCAGCTGGTAGAGGAGGAGTTGGACCGGGCGCAGGAGCGTCTGGCCACAGCCTTGCAAAAGCTGGAGGAAGCTGAGAAGGCAGCCGATGAGAGCGAGAGGTGGGCAGGGCAAGCCCTCTGTGTTAGGCCGGTGGGGAGGAAGCCTGTCTCTGCTGGCCTTGACCTCATGCACACCCACTCCTCTCCCTGCCTCTCAGAGGCATGAAGGTCATTGAAAACCGGGCCATGAAGGATGAGGAAAAAATGGAGCTGCAGGAGATGCAGCTGAAGGAGGCCAAGCACATCGCTGAGGATTCAGATCGCAAATATGAGGAGGTAGTGACCCCACCCCACTCTTTTCTCACTCTGAAACCCAGACATTTCCTGCATTTCCCCAGTGATCTACTCCATTTCCCTCTTCCCCCAACAGGTGGCCAGGAAGCTGGTGATCCTGGAAGGGGAGCTGGAGCGCTCAGAAGAGAGGGCCGAGGTGGCTGAGAGGTATGGGTGTCCTGGGTGGCAAGTGGAACCTGGCAGAACCAGAGGCTAGGGGACACTGCACAGTGGGGGTGTGGTTTCCCAGGCTTGGGGCCACTGGGACAGATTCTGTCCTCTGAACTTTACCTGCTGCCCCTAGCCGAGCCAGGCAGCTGGAGGAGGAACTTCGAACCATGGACCAGGCCCTCAAGTCCCTGATGGCCTCAGAGGAGGAGGTAGTGACCTCTCTGGGCAATGGTGGTCTCTCAGCTCCTCTGTTCCTCCATCTCAGGCTGCTCTCTCTCGCCTATGGGCACTGGGAAGGGCCTGGGACTCTGAACGCTGCCTGCTATCCCTCTCACAACTCTGCTCTTCTCTTCTCTCCTCCACCCCTCCCTCACTGTGCCATCCACTGCCTTGCCCCACTGTGCCCCCACACCCCACCTTGCCACACACCCCCTGCAGTAAATGTGGGGACCTAGAGGAGGAGCTGAAAATTGTTACCAACAACTTGAAATCCCTGGAGGCCCAAGCAGACAAGGTAGAGGGGGGTAGAGGGGCAGTGAGGATGGGGGTCCTGCAGGGGAGGTGACAGACCCAGGCAGGGAGGGGCTGGATGTGCATCTGGTAGCCTGTGTGGCTCAGTGGGGAGATGAAGGACCTGTGGAGGTGATATACTGACAGAATGTGTATGTCCCCAAAAGTACTCCACCAAAGAGGATAAATACGAAGAGGAGATCAAACTTCTGGAGGAGAAGCTGAAAGAGGTAAGAAGTTTCCTTCTAATCTCCAATCTCTCCTTCCCACCCACCCACTGCCATCAAGTTGATTTCGAATCAAAGATTTTCCACTGGGTTTCCAAGTTTGGAATCTTTACAGGAAGAGACTGCCCATCTTTCTCCTATGGAGCAGTTGATGGATTTGATCTGTTAACCTTTCAGTTAGCAGCACAATACTGTGCCACTAGAACCTTTTAGTTTCTCCTTAAGCCACCTTGATTCCTACCAGATTGCCTGTAGCAGGGAAAAATGATGGACAGAAGATTGGCATAGTCTCTGGGAGGGTCTAATTTTTTGCCATTTCCTTCACCCTTCCTTTACCCCCCAGGCTGAAACTCGAGCAGAGTTTGCCGAAAGGTCTGTGGCCAAGTTGGAGAAGACCATTGATGATCTAGAAGGTAAAAGGATACCCCCACCTCACCCCTGAATCTTCGTCAGGAGGTCTGCATCCCTGGCATCCTTTATGTTCCCATCCCATTGCACTTGCTACCACTAAACTGGGATTGGACCACTTAGAATTCCACAAACTCTACAAACCCTGCTGAGCTACATCTGTAATCCAAGTGGTTGTGGTTGGCTACAGCCCATCCACCCCAGTGCTTCTCAAACTTCAGCCCTACTCCCAAAGTGATTACTGACTTAGGGCAGGAGAATTTGTATCTCTGGCAAGCTCGTGGTGGCACTCACACTGCTGGTCTACATACCACACTTGGGTTAGCAGCAAGCTTGACAATTTCCTCTCCAAGAGCAGCATACTAGACCTGTATCATGGAGACTTCTATTTTGAACAGAGAGCTATTTGATTGAACATCTAGGTTTGCATGACAGCATTGATCGGGATTACTACTGTAAACTCAATTTGCAGAGCAAACATAGAGCTATTTGCTAGTCTGTGGCTATTTCTCAAAATTATCAACGACTTTGTATGGATATTGTCTTTACATTTTGTACCACAATAACTCTACCTTTCAGAATTCCCACTTTTCTTGCTTCTAAACTTTTCAGGCAAGCCCCAATTCTATCTTCAATCTAAGGGCTCTAAGCCTTTCTGACTCACACACACCCATCCCCTACCCCTTGAAAGAACCATTCCTGCTTGTCAGCGTGCTGTTCCCCTAAGTCCCTGGGGGAGACAAGAACTCAGAGAGGAAGAGCCAACTCAGTGTACAGAAAAGGACAAAAGGGAAGGGTGCAGAGAGGGGAGGAGGGACTCCGGACAGCCACACAGCCTGCTTAGTGGCCTCTCCTGCTCTCTCTTTGTTCATATGTCTATGATTTCATTTTATCTTTCTGTTACCCTTCCTCCTTCCTTTCCTCTTTTCCTCTATTCCCTCTCCCTACACCCCAACCTGGTGCCCTTCCCTCGGACCCTCCCCTAGATGAAGTCTATGCACAGAAGATGAAATACAAGGCAATCAGCGAGGAGCTGGACAACGCCCTCAACGACATCACCTCTCTCTGATCTTCTCACCACTGTGGCTCCTCAGCCCCCTTCTCTCCTGTCCTTTCCAGTCTCTCTATGGGGAGAGGGCAGGCAGGAGGAGCAAAAATTAGCAACATTGCACAGTCAGGCTGGAAGCAGCCTCCAGAGTGCCCCCATCATGCCCGCCCCCCACTCTGGCACTTGCTTCATCCTTCTGCCTATCTGCTCCCCACAACCTTTGGGTATCACCTCTCTGTGCTACTCAATAAACTCTTGCCTTGGTCTCCATGCTGTTTTCCTGTCCTCCAGGGAGCACTTCATCACCCTCACAGGGCACTGGGTGACTCTTAAGACCCCTGGCTCTCACAGACACCGTTTCCGCTGAGCCGCTCCACAAGCATGTGGCCCGTATTAAATACCCCTCCTCACAGGGCACCACTGGTCTGTCACTCTCTCTCACTGCTGCATGTAGCATGTGTGGCCCTAACATGCACCATGACTTCCACTGGAGCCTCTGAGAGACTCGCGCCTTGGCACACCCTAAGCCAATCACTCACCTCTGGAGCATCTCGCTGGGGTTTCAGGATCTAATGGAATAAGCGGAAGGGAGATGGGGTGGTGAGGCACAGGGAACGGCAAGAGGTTATTAAAAGTCTGGGATGAAGCCCAGAAAAATGTTGGATGCCAGCAACCTGGGGCTTTCACTGCAGCTGCAGGTCTGTTTTCTACCTCAAGCCTGTGTCTGTCTGCCCCTCCTTTTCCTGGCTCGGTCTTTGTCTTCCCTTCTGTTTCCAACTTTCTTAAGCTTTTCAAAGAATGAGACCAAATTGGCTTGTGACTCAGGCCTTCCTGCCTCACCTTCATGATTCCTGGTCCCTCCCTGAGGCCCTTAGGCGTGGGTCTGTTGGGTTCCCTTGTCCTGGTCAGTCCCCGGCATAGGGCCCTCAGATCCCATCCTGTGTCTCTGTTTGTCACTTCCCTTATGTTTCTTCCCTATGTCTTGTTTTTCCATCCTCCTCACATGCTGCTTCTCCTCACAGAGACCTTGGCCAGTGCCAAGGAGGAGAACGTGGAGATACACCAGACCCTGGACCAGACGCTGCTGGAACTGAACAACCTGTGAGGGCCGGCCTTGCTCTGGCCAGGCTAGAGTTGCCACCTCCAATCCAATAAAACTTCTGTCAGAAGCATTGCAAGGGCTCTGTAAGCCTTTCTTGGTGTTGGTACTGGCGGCAGATGGTTTTCCAAAGTGGTTAAGAGGATGGATGCTTGTGGGGAGCTTTAAATGGACAGAACCTGGACCTGTGCTCTGGGATAGGATATCCTCCTTCATGGGGGCTAGGGATAAAGGGTTGTTAAGGAATCAGAGAAGGCTAGGGAAGCCAAGAAGCCCATCCGCTGGTGGAATAACCTGACCTTTACCCCCTGCAGGGCTGAGGCATCACATCATTCCGCAGCTGTGCCAGGCAACTCATTCTGAAAGCAAAGCCCTAAGAATTTACATAGATTTAACTTGAGCAAGGTGAAAAGCCCAAAAACCTTAATGTTTTAAACCAAAAGTCCACAGCTTCCCTGTGCTCTCCCCCCATACACACACAATAATAATATCAATGATTTCTATCCAGGGTAGGCAGAAAAAATGCCCTGGAACCTGTGGATGTGTTACACTGCATGTTCTAAGGGACTTAGCAAATATTGATTCAGGATCTTTAAATGGGGAAAGTATTCTAGATTATTCAGGTATGCCCAAGGTAACCATAAAGGTCCTTAAAGGAAGGTCAAAAGCAATAGGAACAGTTGTAATGGAAGCAAGAGATTGAGGTGAGGAAAGAAGCTGAAAGCCCGGAAATTTAAATGACCTTTAGATGCTGACAAGGGCAGCAAGCTGATCCTGCACATAGACCTCCAGAAGGAACCAGCCTACCAGCACTATGAATTTCGCCCTCACCTCAGACCTCTGACCTCCAAAACAATGAGAAAATACATCTGTGTTGTGTTAAGACACTAAGTTGGTGATGATTTGTCACAGCAGTTATGAGAAATTTAAAGGCTATCTTTCTGATTTGGAGAACAAATGTACCTTCCACACTTTTTATTAGAAATTTATTTTTAAAAAATATCTTTGGAGGTTAAAAGGGAAGTGGAATCACAGGGATAGGCCAGAACACAATTTCTAACCGCTCACAGATTCTTCCTGGCTTCTTCCTGTACATTGTCCCAGTGCCAGGCCGTTAGGCTTCTGTCTCCGTGACCTCTGCAGGGTGATAGTTAGCATTCCCTTTGGTCGTGTTTACATGTCTGTACAATTAAAACAGAAAAGAATCATGCCCACTGCTGTTAAGGCAGTCCAACCCCAGGCAACCTGTGTGTTTTAAAGCAGAACTGTGCAATAATGTTTTCTTAGCAGTTTTCTTTCTGGTGGCCTGGTGGCAAGAAGCTGCACTGCAATCTCAAAGACACGCGGTTTGAATCCCACCAGCTGCTCTTTGAGAAAAGGATGGGCAGTCTCCTTCCATGTGATTAACTGCCTCTGAAAACTCGCCAGAGGATCAACTATGGATCAGTTCACACAACAACAATCTATAAAAGCAGATAGCCACACCGTGCTTCCCTGGTGCTGCTGGTGTGTGGGTTCAAACAACCAAGTCTGGAAAGACTAATGAAAACCATTTGGGCCATTTGGAGGGCCTAATTAGAAAACTTGCATGCCAGTTACATGACCACCAAATGGGTGACTGGGGATAGTTTGCACATGAGGGAGAAGGCCAGTGTAATACCTTTGCTGCCTTCTCATCTGCACAAGGAAGGCGATGCCGGTAACAGCAAAGAGAAGGCCAAAAATCAGGGCCAAGATGTCACCTGAGAAGGAGAAAGGAGAGGGCTGCTTCATTGGGTAAGGAGATCCATAGGGTCCACCCACAGTCTGCTTCAGTGAATCCCCCACCACTGCCCAGAGGCCTCCAGCAGTCAACAGTATCAGTGCCTCAATCTCCAGAAGGGGCCAGTGAAGGAAGGAGGATAAGCCACTCTTCCCTAAAACTATGCAGAGTAAAGGAGGTTGCTTGGGGAAGCGGACACCAAGAGATTTTTTTAGTTTCATTCTGAACCTCCTTTGCCTTTGGGGTCATGGAGGAAGGCAACACCTTCAGCTGACAATATCATATTGGGATTGGGGGTTTGCAGAAAACAAAAGGGATTCTGGAGGAAGCAGAGTTGGTCCTGACTAGCTCTTGGAGTGTTCCCTAGTAGTATAAGCAAGAGAGGGACCCCAGACTCACCAGCGCCTAGACAGGAGTTCTGGTGGACTGAAAAGGAAAAGATGACATTACAGCTGGCAGCTGGGACCTCAGAGGAAAAATACAGACTTTAGAGATATGAGGGTTCTGTGACTGGGAAAACAGCACCATAAGCCGCCAAAGGGAGTTGCACCTGACTCAAAAGTCCGAGGGCTCCTGTCCACTTCAGCAGAGAAGGAGGCCTCGATAATTCTCCCATTCAAAGGCTGTGTGGTTCGGAAGTTCAGCTGCAGCCGAGAGTCATCAGGCCCCCACAGGGAATCAGAGAGAGAGTGGAGCTGCGGAGGTCAGTAGAGAGTGGACGTGGGCTTAGAGGTAAACACTGAAAGGTCACAAGCAAGTGCTCTAGGGCTCTACCTTCCATTTCTCCCCCAATTATCCACATGGTCCCTTCGTCTCCTTGGACCTCTGTATGAAACAGCTGAATCTTCACTGAGCTCATTGAGTTCTAATTAGACTTGTTTTTCTAGTCCCTTCTCTTAGTGAGTAGCTCTGGGGCCAAAAGACCCTGCCCTTCTTGGTTTTTAGCCATGTTTGCCAAACTAGGTGAAGGTGAAGCAGATGATTGTTTCTCCTTGTTGTTGTTGTTGTGTACTGATGTATTGGAACTGACTCATAACTGAGCCTCCAGCAGGTTTTTAGAGACAGTTAACCACATAGAAGGAGATTGCCCGTCTTTGTCCATGGATTCGAACCATGTGCCTTTGGATTGGTAGCAAAACTCCTTACCACTAAGCCACCAGAGCCAGACCTCATTACACATTCCTTAACCTAACTATGTATTGAGGTTGTTTGTGTAAGGATATAATCATTGGTACTTCCCCTCACCCTCAGCAGAACCTTCTTGTTGATGAGACACTACCAGGTCCTTGTAGTACTGCTCCTCTGTTAAGTTTTCCTTTCTCAATAAACTGAATGTAATAGTTTTCAGTCTGCCTTGGTGTCAGTTTTTTGGTTTCTGTATAAACATAAACCTTGAAGGACTTTTTATCTGGGGAGAAAACCCAAACAAACTCTTATATCCCCTTCTCCCCACATCTCCTGTGTCATCTCCTTCCTTCCAGCCTCACCTGCTTGGCACTCAGCCTCACTGTCTGGTTGAACACAGTCCAGATGACTCCCTGGGCACAGGGGGGTGTGGTCAGGGACCCCTCATATCGGAAGTAGCGGCTGATGTCGGAGGGCAGCAGTGCAGACACGTCCAGTCCTGGGATCTGAGTCTCTGAGCCTGTGGAGAAACCTGTGCTGGATCTCTCCTAGACCTCACCTAATCACTAAGCCACTTGAAGCTTGGGATTAAAGGATACAGTTTCATCTCCCAGAAGTGATGTTAATTCAGCCTCTAAGGTCATTTCTTCAAAACAAGACACAATTCAGAAGGAAATAAAGGATTTGAGGCAAATGAAAAATGCATCATAAAATAGAGAAGGGCACCTCAGGCCTGGGTCTTCACACTCACTCTCTGGCTTTCTATTTATGCTGAGAGTAGAATCAAGCCCGGAGTGAATTAAGATGGAAGAAAGAGTCAATTATTAATAATGTGTAAATAATTATACTTTGGGCACTTGGCCAGGAGGGACCAGTCCTTGGAGAAGGACATCATAGTTGGAAGGGTGGAAGGACAGCACAGGAGAGGAAGATTCTGGATGAGATGGATTGACAAGATACCTGGGGCCATGGGATTAACTGTGTCGGAGTCAGTGAGACTGGCTCAGAACACGGCAGCATTCAGTCCCAGGAGACTTGACAGCACGTAACAAGAAGAAATAATTACATACCTTGTGGCTATTTTTTTAAAAAAACACCATAAAACCACCACCAAAACCTAAAAGAGTGCAGCTTCCTCTAGTTTACCTAAATCTAAGTGTCCTCTAAAATAAATGAGGTTTAAAATTACCTAGAGTAACTGAAAAAGGGAAGACTTCTAACAAAGGTACCTTAAAATATAAAATATTTGATGTTTACAGAACAGAAATTGACAGTTCTCAGAAAAATCTGAGTACTGCAGACTTGACCCTGGAAGTTCCAAACACCATTGCTTTTTTATGTCTGATTTGGTTTTGGGGTTTTAACCTGTGAGCCTGTGGGTACCAGTTTGCCTGTTCAGCTTCATAGTTACTATCAAGATCACAGTGGGGCATTTCACACCTCACCCTCTTTCGGAGAGGTAAGGAGTCCACCTCCACCCTCAAACTGAGGCTCCCCAAGGGCAAGTCTATAATAGTTGAAGTTAATAAGACAGACCAACAAACTGACCTTCCTCTGCAATTTCTTTCAAATGTGACAGCAACTGCTCATAGGCGCTGTTCTCTTCTGGGCCCTCCTAAGGGATGAGAGCGCAAGACACTATTACAGGATTTACACCCTGAATGGGTCAAGGGCCATGACTGTGTGCCTGAAGATGAGGTGGGGTTCCCACACTCCTCCTCCACTCCTTAGTTCTGAGAATGCTTAGGGAACAAAAAAATAGCATGTATTTATGATTCCTTCTATTTCCTCTTAACTTCTCAAACTAATTTGACAAGTCTGGGAGAGAGCTTTTCTATGGCAAATTGGACAGAGAAGAGGGAGTGGGGTAACTTGACTAAGATATAGACCCTCAGTAACCTGTTGTGATGGTGTAGTGTTGAGTGACAGTCATCTCATAACTGATCCTCCACCAGGTTTTCAGTGGCAGTAAATAACACAGGACTGCCTTTGGGTTGGCAGCACCACGAAAGTCACTAGAGCTCCTGCCACAATAACCTAGAACCTGACATTTCCACTCTTACTTATAGCTACATACATACTCCATAATCCCACAGCGAATAAACCCCTTAATACAGCTTTGTATTCACATCACCTCTGCTTTCAGCTTAATACTCCTGTACGACTTTTGGACTACACCTGACATGCTATGACTGAGGCATTTCTCTGTGAATGGGCCTAGCAGGTCCCTCTCCATGCTTGCACTCTACTGCCTTCTACTAGTCATTGTGTATGTAAACCTGTTCATTATGGGTCTAAAACCAAAACCGAGTGCCAATTCACTTGTGGTCAAGTTGGTTCTGACTCATAGCAACCATTAGATCTCAAGGTCCAAGGGAGGAGAATGTCTATCTTTCCCCCACAAAGAGGCACACTGCTGCATCACCAGGGCTCATTATAGACCTAGAAGCCACTAGATATTTCTCTAGACTTCACTGGATAAAGAGGAAATTATCAGATACAGGACTATACAGAAATAATTGTTACTGTGTCGAGTCAATAGCATCTGCCTGAATTCTGAGTCTTTGCACATACTTTGCCCTATGCATGGAGGGAGGCATTCCTCCTTTTCTGCTGCGCTAAAGAAGGCTCTGGTAGTGTAGTCTGTGGCACATTGTGCTGTTGACCAAAAGGCCATGTGTCTTCAAATCTGCCAGCCACTGTGAGGGAGAAAGCTAGGCAGTCTTATCCAGTTATGATTCAGCCTCAAAAAAACCCATTGGAGGCTCCGCTTAGTTGGAATCCACTCGATGATAACAGCCATAGGATTTGAGTGAAACCCTCAAGTTTAAGTGTCACCTCCTCTGTGAAGGAGTCCCTGACCATCACTTTTGTTTAATGTCTGTCCTTTCTGTGTTCCTGTCATTAAAGGAGTCCTGGTATTGCAGTGGTTAAATGCTTGGGCTGCCATCCAAAAGGCTGGCAGTTCAAACTCATCAACCCCTTTCTGGGAAGGCAGCCGTTTTCCTTAAATTTCCAGCTGTGTAAATATAAGGGGCAGTTGTACTCTGTTCCGTGTGAGTTAGAATCACCTCAACTTGGCTGACAATAGATGACAAATACATAAGCTAATGAGTGACTGGGATGAAAGTGAGGAGTCAGGGTGAGTGTGCTGGGACGTGGTGTCTGGCTTACATGTCAGAAAACAGGGAGTTGGGCATCTCCAGAGTTAGTACCTGCAGAAAGGCAGCCAGCACAGCCAGGCCCCCCGGTCGACCCAAGGCCTCCTCCACTTTGTTAAATGCGGTGCTGAGATGAACCACGTGGATCTGGGAAGGACACGTGAACAGAGGTGGCTCAGATCTGCGACCTGTCCTCACCCCCTCGCCACTCAGAGGACAGCTCCACGCTCACCTCTGCAGGGAACCGGTGGCCACCAACTGTGTGCTCTGATCCGGGGCGACCCGGGGCTCCCCAGTGCAGATGCAACTGCAGGGCTCGGTACTCCCGCCCAGGACCCAGGGCCAACTCCAGACCCGGAGGTAGGGTCAGCTTCACTGTGGTGGGGTGAGGGGACGGTGAGGGGCCACCCTGCCGGTCCAGCCCACCCATTCCTCACCCTAGAGGGTACCGCCCCTTCTCTGAGGCTCCGCCCAAGGCCCCCTCACCCGTGTGGCCATTGTTTTGCAGGCTCAGTTCTGGGAATGGCGGGAGCTCGTATCCCAGTAGTTCCAGGGGTCTCAGGGAGGCACAAAACACTGCGAGCTCTGGGCGGATGTCCACTGGGGATTGGAAGCGACCAGCGCAGGCTGGGAACACTTGAGGCCAAGGAGGGTCGCCTATTATGGGGAAGTATTTTCAAGAAGTCAGGGGACAAGGACAGGTACTTTTGGGGAACTCGGGTAGAAATCATGAGAGTGGGATCTGGAAGCGTGGCAGCGGCAGATAGAAATCAGGCGGGTGGACGGGGATCGGCAGAGGGTACGGTGGTTGGGGTACCCAGTGTTCAGGGTTGGGACAGAGCAGCAAACCTGGGTCCCCAGCCTGGGTCTGAGCAGAGGAAGGATGTCTCACCTCGATAGCGCCAATGTCTGTGGTCATCCCCTGCACAAATAAGAAGGATCCAGGAGCTAGTCTTGAAGCCCAGGCCTTCCCCAGTGGCCAGAACAAAGTGCACTTTCCTCCTTAGGTGAGGTTCACAAACTCAGATAAATACCTGACAGGTGCCCCGCAGGTAACATGCCTGAAAGTCGAGCGCAAAGCCAGTAGACTGCAGCCAGGCATAATGTCACCACTGGGTGCGACAAAGACCTGAGGTACCACTTTGGAACCACTGTCTGAGGGTCTGTAAACTGGGTAGGGGCCTCAGTTCCCCAGACCCAAGTCTGACCTTGATTCCTCTCTCCCAACTCCTCTCCCCTCTCTGGTTTCTAGCTTCTTTTTCAAAGATCCTACTTGGGAGGCGACAGACTAGGTTCTTTGTGGTTGTTTTCTTCAAGGTCTTGGTTTCCTTCTTTCAAGGTGAGATTATCTCAACCCTTTCCTCCTTCTCCTCCTGTCCACACTCAATCCTCCTCCCTCTCCTTCATGCTGTAGCTTTTCTCTCACTCTCCACTATTTTTTTAAAAATCTCTGCACATTTCTCGTCTATTATTCTTCTCCAAGCTCCTCTTTCTTCCCCATCTCTTCTAGTTGCCTCTTTCTCCATCTCTGTTCCTGTTAAAATTTCCCCTCCCACCACCCTCTTCTAGTTCTGAAAAGAAGGTGTTTTGTGATTAGGAAGTCCCTGGGACTGGAAAAAGTTAGGGTGCGTGTCAGATTACAAGCTCCCCTCCTCTGAGAGTCCCTGGGTGGTGCAAACAGGTAATCACTAAGTTTTAGGCCCAAGTCTATCCAGAGGTGCCTCAGAAAAAAGGCCTGGTCATCGCCCCTTGAACCCTACAGAAAGCAAACAAAAATCCCTATGGAATACAGTTCTATGCTGACACAGTGGATGTCCCTCTGAGTCAGCCTTGGCAGAGCGGAAACTGGATTTTTTTATTCTCCCCTGAATAATCACCACCTGAGCTGGGCTATGCTGGGGGAAGCCAAGCACCTCCTGGAGCCTAGATTTGGAGAATCGGTGGCCACTTACCTTTTCTTTCCCTGTGGCCATTGCTTTTTTGATCTGGAGTATTTCTGGGAGCCTCCGTAGGGAGATCATCGAGCCTCAGAGGATTCTCTTCCTCTGGGTTCCTGTCGACCTGAGGTGGCTCTTCCTCTGCAGGTGGCTCCTCCTCTACAGGCAGTTCCTCCACTGCAGGTAAGTTTTCTTCACTGTGCAGATCCTCTTGACCTAGTGGTCCATCTTCCCCAGATGAATCTCCTCCCATAGGGGAAGCCCCCTGCATCCGGGGCAGACTCTGGGGATAAGTAGGCACCAGAAGCACCAATAACAGCAAGAGTTGCACAGTGGAGCCCTGGGCAGGGGACACAATCAACAGAGGGAGCCAGGGCCCAGGGCACTGGGGAGCCATGCGGCTGGCTGTGGAGTGTCCCAGGACACGAAGAGCACGGGCTGTGAGCACGGGCTGTACGTGCATAGGAAACTGGAGCCGGGGAGGGGAGGGGAGGAGCAAGCCTGAAGGGGAGCAGGCTGACTCACAGAGTGCTCCTTTGTGGAGATGGAGCCAAAGTCCCGTGGGTCTGTCTGGCCCTATGCCCCTTCCCCGATACCAAGGCCCGGGTAGGGGTGGGGTAGGGGCAGGTATGTGCTCAGGTATAAGGTTATCGGGGTCATAAGCTGAGCCTGGGACCTAAGTCACCACCTGGCACTGTGCAGGCTCTCCCTGGCACCACTTGTTACTTCCCAGCTCGCCTCACCTAACGCTGGCCTGCTTCCCAGCTCCAGGCGGGGAAGGGAAAAGGCAGGGAGCTGGGGCCCCCACCTCATCTGGCTGAGGGGGGAAGCAGCGCTGGCATTTATGTGTGCCCCAGCTAGGGAGTAAGAGAGGGGACAGGACAAGCTGCTGGGAGAGCCTGAGTGTGAGGAGAAAGATGGATGAATGGTTGGATGGGAGGCCCATCTGCGTATGAACCGAACACTGATTGTGTGTATGAGAGGGATTCTGATGACTTAAGGTATCTTTCTTACTATATTATTCCACTGCTCAAAAACCTTCACTGACTGCGTGCTGTCTACCAGAGTATACCCCATCATTTGCTTTTAGTCAACTTCTCATCCTTTCATCATATTACCTAAGATACTTTTCCTTCTCCTCTCCTACTCCCTTCCTCCATGCTTCATTTTCCTTCAAGTTTTTTTACCATCTTTGTTCTAATGTAAAAATGTATTTCATATTTAGTACCTATTGTATGTCAGACTATCAGACATACAACTATGGACTAGGGCTACAGGATTGAATAAAATGGTCCCTGCCCTTGAGGAGCTCACAGCCTTGCGGGAGCCTATGTCCTTATAACACTTAGGGGAAAGGAAGAGTAATTTCCCATCAAAATGTAAAACAAAACTAGGTAAGTTTGGATATGGGCCTTAAAGAAGGAGTAGCCATCCAATTGATAAAAATAATGGTGTTTAAAAAAAATAATGGTGGTGGTAGTTTATCATTAAGTTGGAACTGACCCCTAGCTGACCCCCCCAGTGGGTTTTCAGAGGCAGTTAATTACTCAGGAGGAGATTGCCCATCCTTCTCCCACAGAGCAACTAGTGGATTCAAACCACAAGCCTTCGGGATTGCAGCACAGCTTCTTGCCACTAGGCCACAAGTGCTTCCTATGGTTGTATGTTGTTGTGTACTGTCGAGTCATAACTGATCCATAGCAGACCCTCTGGCATGTTTTCAGAGGCATTTAATTACATGGGAGTGGATTGTCCACCCTTCTCTTGCAGCGCAGCTGATGGCCTCAAACTGCATGCCTTCGGGTTTGCAGCACAGCTTCTTGCCACTAGGCCACCAGCGTTATACAGGTTATCTAAATATATTGGAATCTTGCTAATCCTGTTGGTAAACAAGCCTATCACCTTCAAGGGTCCCCTTCAACCCTCATACTTCCTTGGGGAACTTCCAGATCTCATAATCTCTCATCCAAATGGATAGTGCTTGGCAAAGAAGGGGCTCAGGACCCGACCTGAATATCTTAGCAGATTTCTATTTTCATGGGTCTGAGCTTGTGTACCTGGTCTTGCGTTAAATATTTTTATGATCTTCCCTAGTTTAATCCCTTGCACTCTTCAAGACTCATCTCAAATCCCTGAGACACCTTTCTTTACTCACTCTCACCACCTCCAGTCAGAAAGGGATCTGTTGTACTTGAACCATCACCTGCCCCTGCTATTGACTTTGCCCATCATCTCATGCATATTAAGGTGATTTATTACCACATATGATCGGTTCTAATAGCGTTGAGCTCCATAAGGGCAGGGTTCAGTATTTGATTAATTTAATCATTCATTCAAAGCCATTATGAATTACTCTTTGTGTACAGAGCACATTGCTGGGTGTTTGAGGATTTCCGGAAGTGTCCTGTAGGAGCTTACTCTCAATGGAATGTGTGTGTCAAACCACAATTATAAAAAGGGGAGCATTTAAAAGTGAACTCTGGTAGCGTGGCATAGTCCTAGGAAGTTGTGTTGTTTACCCAAAGGCAGTGCCTCTCTGGTAGTTTGAATCCACCAGTAACTCCGTGGGAGAAAGATGGGAAATCACCTCTGTGATTTATAACTTCCAAAAACCTGCTTGAGGGTCAGCTATGAATTCATTCCTAGCCTATGGCCATGAGTTAGTGAACATTGTCTGCCTTATCAAAGTGACTGTCATCCTGTCTAAGCTTGTACAGATGAACTGTCCTCTGAGAAGTCATCTGAGGAGGTAGCCTGTTGTTGTTGTAGAATACTGTCAAGTCAGAACATCGGAACCAACCCATAGCTGACCCTCTAGTGGGTTTCCAGAGCTAGTAAACTGCACATGAGCAGATTGCCCATCCTTCTCCTACAGGGTAGCTGGTGGATTTGAACTGCATGCCTTTGGGATCTCAGCGTAACTTCTTACCATTAAGCCACCAGAGCCCCACCAAGTGGAATTCTACTAGTAGAACTGAGTTCCACTAATGGAAGTAGGTACATTAGTGGATGGTCATCAGCTCATTGTATTGGTAAGATGTGCTTCCAGTACCTTGCTTGGACCCGGATACACAGAAGGTGCACAGTAATTTCAACTGAGTGGAGCTTTAGCAACTAACCTGGTGGAGGTAGAAGAATTCATAGAGCACAAAGGACAGAAATATCATTAACTAGAGTCTAAAGTCTGAAATGTTTTTGCAATCCTAATTTCAAGTCTATTTTTTTCTAAATGGCCTTAATATTACTTTCACTCCTATTTTTTTTTCCTTTTTTAGATATATCTAGATTTCTCTGTGTATTTCTCTGGGACACTCTATATGTCCATGACTCTGTTGGCCCTCTCCCTACCATTTCTGTTGCTTTCTCCCCTTGGTCTTTCAGAGTCTCGATCTGCCTCTGGGTACAGATCTTTCCATTACCACAGTTTTCCCAAACGTTCTCTGAAGTCCTGTCTTTCTTTAAGTCTCTCTCTCTTTGTGTGTGTATGACTCTGTCTTTGGTTATGGGTGTGGAATGTGGACTCTGACCCTGAATCATACCTTCCCAGCTGGAAGCCTGACAAAACCTAAAACAGGTTTGAGTTCCTCAAGTTCTTATTCCTGATCCTTTTCACATTGAGACTGGCCATGCTCAGGACTATCTGACCGAGCCATCTCCTGCCTGGCCCAGGATTTCTCTGTGCTTAAGACCAAGTCTTTGATCACTTGGTCTGTGTCTTCAGACTCTGAGAGGCCATGTTACTAAAGTATGTTACTGTTTACTCCAGTGCTACAGAAGGAGGACAGGGGACAAAAGTCCCCCTTCCCTTGCTACCATAAATTGGGGGAAAGATTTAATCATAGTCCTCCTGAAGTCTTGATGCTGCCCTGTGGATCTGGCCCATCACATCAGTGACATGGTGGAGTTGAAGCTGACTCTCAGGATGAGAAGGGGTGGGTCTTCATTGCAGACCCTTGTGCTTTGTGCCTTTGTCCCTTTTCATACACCTCGTAGACCCTTTCATCTGCATCCACTCCAACTGTTTCTATAAACTGCTAAGTATGACAGCTATGTATCCCCAGCCAGACCCTCCCCAATCTCTGTCAGACTCATAGCCACCTGCCTAGTGGACATCTTCCTTTAAAATCACCCCTCCTATCCTCTTCTAGCTCTGAAAAAGGGAAGGGGGGGTGTCTTGAAGTTAGGAAGCCTCAGAGGCTGGAAAAGGCTCTGTCAGATTATACACTCTTCTCCTTCCAGAGTCTCTGAGTGGTACAAACAGGTAACCTGAAAGTTGGAGGTTCAAGTGCACCCAGCATCACCTCAGGAAAAAAAAAATCCGTGGTGATCAGCCACTGACAACCCTATGGAACAACAACAACAACAACAACAACAACAACAACAAACCAAAACCAAAACCCAAAAAAACTAAAACAAAAATCCCAGAGGAACATAGCTCTTCTCTTACATATCTGTCTTCATGAGTCAGCACTGATGTGACAGAAATTAGATTTTGGTTCTCCTTCTCCAAAGGAATAATCCACACCTGAGCTGGGCTGTGCTGGAGGAAGTCAGACACCTGGAGCCTCGATTTTGAGAGCTGGTGGCCACTTACCCTGTGGCACATATTTTTCTGGCCTTGTATATGAGCCTCTGTATGTGGATCATTCAACCTCAAAGAATTCTCTTCCTCTGGGTCAGTCTCAATTTTTAGGTGACTCTTCCCTGCCAAGTGGCCTCTCCTCTCCTCTCTGGGTGGGTCCTCTCTGTTACAGAAAACCATGCTTCTGCTGCCTGCTACCAAAAACCCAAGGTTGAAAAAAAAATTTTAAGGACCCCCCCCCAAAAAAATCTTAGAGATAGAAACTGAAAATATAGTTTCATTACATGTATGCATATAAGAGATAGGGGTATGAGCATCTTTAATCTGTCTCTTCATTTTTGGGGATTTTGAGGGCTTATATATGGAAACTGCGGGGCACTGAAATGTATGAGAATTTCAACATCTCATCCAGGTGTCCAGGACTTGTGATAGTTCAGCATCTTTTCTTGTCCAAGCCTGGTGATCATTTGGGGTGAATGGGCCCAGCCTTGTCAAGGCACTGAAAGATAGCCTCGAGCTGTTCTATGACTAACAGGGAGTAGTCCTCAACTAGATTGCAGGGTTTAAGGGAAGTAGATCTCAACTCTGGATTATAGACAGACAAGCATCAACAATGGGTTCCAGGTAGGGAGTAACTACAGATTTCAGGGTAGGTAGGTGAACATCAGCAAGAGGACTTTAGCTCTGAGAAGGAAACTTGTGGTGTAATCTAAAGGTAGCTTGATCAAACCCCCAGCAACTCTGAGGGACACTCACAGGCAGTCTGTTCCTGTTCTGTCTACAGCCTCTAAAAATCCACTGGAGAGTCAGCCAGGAGCCGGTTCTGCCTCAGTGACAATGAATGAGTGTGAGAGGGGCTAAGAGAGGGGGGAAAATAACCACCCCTCTTCCTTTTAAAATATTATAGAAAAGAGCATTAGTTTTACTTTAGTTTAGGCTATTGTGAAAAGTAGTAGTGTGTACCGGAGTTGGAACTGACCTGTCGTTGACTCTCCAGTGGGTTTTCAGAGGCAAGTAATAGCTTGGGAGGAGGTTGTCCATCCTCTCATGGCGCAGCTGATGGCCTCCAACCACACGCCTTGGGGATTGCAGCGCCGCTTCTTGCCACTAGGTCACCAGAGCTCCCTTGTGAAAAGTTAGTATCTTTTAATTGAGGGACTGTTACTGGGAATTGAGCTGCTGATGCAAAGGCAGTGCTTCTCTGGCAGCTAGGCAATCTTCTCCCATGTGATTTACAGCCTTGGAAACCAGGAAAAGGGTCAGCTATGAGTAGGCTCTGACTCCATGACGAATAATTTCTTTCCATACTTACTCAAATCACATTCATTTATTGGCAAATACCCAAACACATTTGTCACCAATTGGGCGGGCCCCAAATACTATGCTCTGTTCCCATCATCTAAACTCATGGTGACAATATGTCATGGGATTATGTCCTCTCCAACATCTGAGCTCTTAATGTAGCCCTGTCTCTCAATGAGTTAAGACACTATAATCACTTTGCTGGTATCACCAATTTCCTGAGAACCTGAGTATAAGGTACAGAGTGACCCAGACTTTCCTCCATGCAAGAACTTCTAGTTGCCCCTCCCTGACTAGCCCAACATTTCTCTTCCTCAGAATTCTTAGAACACCAGAGTTGGAAGAGACCTCAAAACTAGATAATTGTCTGGTCCTTGGCTTGAGACCTACAGTCTCAAGAATCCACAACAGTAGGAATTGAGTCTAAAGTTTCTATCTAAAGTGTTGCTATTAGTAACTTCCCCCCTTTCTAATTGCAACATAATGCCTTATCAATATCCAAAACTTGAAAAATAGAGAAAAAAATGTAAGAGCATTTTAAAAAATACCCTATTTGTCATTGATCTTTTTAACCTTAGTGATCCTAGCACAGATCAGGTGTTTAATATTTATAGAATGATCTTTATTCTGTTTGTCTTTTTTTTTTTTTCAATGTTGCTTGGGTGAGCTTGAGCCTGCAAGGAGCAAGCTGGTCCTAAAATTTACCAAGTCCACATTTCTTTGCCTCTAATTCTTTTGTTTGTTTGCTTCTAATTTGTCTCTGTCCAAGGACAGAAAACCATATAGAATGTTTTTCTGTCCCATTATTCAAACATAAAAAATCCCCCATAATTAACTTTTCAATGACTGCATCAGCGAGCTGAACAATGACTAAGGATGACAGAAGAAGAATCGATGCCTTTGAGTTGTGATGCTGGAGAAGAGTCTTGAAATACCATGGACTGTAAGAAAACAACGACATCTGTCTTGGAGAGGATGAAACCAAGTTTTTTCTTGGAGGCTAGAATTTTCCCCCCCATTTTCTGGCAAATTTATTGGATAATGAGAGAAACAATTTCTTGATCATGGTCACATACCATGAATTATAGACTAAATAAATATTTTGTTTGCTTTTAAAAATTATTTTATTAATTTTAATGAACATTTACAAAGATTTTGGATTTACATTCGTTCATTGTTGCACTTTTCTCCCTGCCCACCCCTCCCCTCCAGTTTGCTCCTCTCTTTGAAAAAAGAGAAATTCCTTCATTGGTATATAATCCCCCCATCGCCCCCCTCCCCCACCCCAAGTACACTCCACTATGCAACCTTCATTCTGGACTCTTTTTTTTTTTAGAAAAAAATTTATTATTATTATTTTTTTTATGTGTGTATCATCAAATCGGACCTGACTGGTACAGGAGGCGAATGTTCCTCCTTCTTCAGCAGATCATCTGGTGGATTTGAACCACGCACCTCTGGGATATTCTGAACTCTTGTAATAACCATAATACCCTATCATATATTGCTTTTTTTTTTAATTTTTTTTTTTATTTTTTATTATTTTGTGTGCGTGTACCGTCAAATCAGATCTGACTGGTACAGGAGGATATTGCGCCTCCTTCTCCTGCAGAGCATCTGGTGGATTCGAACCGTGTTCCTCTGGGATTGCAGTGCAGCTTCTTGCCACTAGGCCACCAGAGCTCCCCTCATATATTGCTTTTAATCTGTTCTCTCCTTCATCTGTTTCAATACAGTATACATAATTTATCCAGTTTTTCTCAGTCTTACCCCAACCCTTATGTCAGTTCTATTCTACAACAATGGCACTATGCAATATTTGTCCTTTTGTGACTGAGATATTTAACTCAGGATAATATCCTCCAGGGTCACCCATTTTGAATAACATTGCATGAGTTCCTTGTTTTTCAGTGCAGTGTAGTATTCCATTGTGTGAATATACCACAACTTTTCTATCCATTTGTTTGTTGATGGGCACTTAGGTTGTTTCCAACTCCTTGCTATTGTGAACAAAGTGGCAATAACCATGGGTGTGCATATATCTACTTGGATAGCAGTTATGGTCTCTTTGGGGTGTATCCCCACTAGTAGAATTGCTGGGTCAAATGGTATCTCTATTTGCAACTTTTTGAGAAAGCGCCACACCGCCTTCCACAGTGGTTGCACCATTTTACAATCCCACCAACAGTGAATAAGAGTTTCAGTTTCTCTACAACCTTGCCAGCATTTGTTGCTTGCTGTTCTGTTAAATTTTGCTATAGTTACTGGGGTGAGATGATATCTCATAGTTGTTTTGAGGAGGCTAGAATTGTAAAGCTCCCTCTCACATACTGTGGGCATGTGACCAGGAGGGACTGGGCCTTAGAGGAGGACATCATGCTTGAAAGGGGGGAGAGACAGTGCAGGAGAGGAAGACCCCGGGTGAGATGGACTGATACAGCCAACTGGGGCAATGGGGTTAGGTGTGCTGGAGTCACTGAGAATGGCTTAAGACAGGGCAGGCTTCAGAGCTATTGTACACAGGGTTATTATGAATTGTAGGTGATGACAGCACGTAACAACATAGTTATTTTATACAAAATGTTAATGTACAGCTTTGTAGCCTTTGTTTTTTCCCCCTTACAATCTATTATATGCATTTTTCCTATTGATAGTTTTCTATGACATATTTCATATTATCCCATTATATGTTGTACCATAATTTTCTTAACCAATTACTGAACATTTATAATTTCCAGTTTTCTGTTGTTAAAAACATTGTATCAGCCATCCTAAGTCATATTTTTATCCATATCTCTGATGAGTAAGGATGCATTCCTAGAATTGGAATTGCTAGGTCAAAATAATATATATTTTAATATTCCTGATACACACCCACAAAACTTACACTCCACTGCTGTCAATTTTTCAAAAAAGCCTGAAGTAAGGGGAATCTGGTACATTTAGTCTTGGACTAGGCAACACAGATCATTAACTCAGAGCTTTTGCCTTTGGTTAGAATAACATCAGCAACAACCTTGTTTAGCTACACCTGCTGACCAGAAGTTAATTGGCTGTTGAGTTTTGGAACAGCATGACATGAGAAAACCGGTTGATAAACCCTACAAACTTTTGTTCAGAGGCCAAAATATTTCAAACCTTGTGATGCGTGAAGGTTCCTAGTAGTGAAAGCTTTGGGAAGGACAGAAGGACTGGCCCCTCCCTACTTCTGGGAAGGACCTAAGTGGTTGTCTGCACAGACCAGCTGACCCTCCAGTGGGTTTTCAGAGGTAGTTACCACCTGGGCAGAGATTGCCTGTTGTCCACTTTTCCCCAAAGAGCAACTGGTGGATTTGAACCGCATGCGTTTGACAGTGCTGCAAAGATTCTTACCACTAGGCCACAAGAGCTCTTTCTTAGGGCCCAGGACAGAGTCTATATACCCTATTGATCCATCTCTAATTCTTCCGATAGGTCAGAGACCCTGCTAGTGCCCACATCCAAGTCCCCGGACTAAAGTCCATTCTACTGCCTCTTCTTAGAACCACTAAGAAGATGGTCACCAACTAGGCCTGTGCACAATCCTCCTCCTGTTGGCTTCCCCGGGGTTGGTTCCCGGAACCCACAGCGCGTACCTGGATGTGTGGCGCGGACCAGGCTGTAGGACTGACGGGACGCAGCCCGGCGCACGCAGCCTCCCGGCGCCAGGGGGCGCACTGCCTTGTACGCTCCGCCCCGAGACTCCGCCTCCGGAGCGGTTAGGATTTGAAACTCCGGCGGGCTGCTGCCGGAAGTGTGGACCCTTCGTCCTGGCCATGGAGAACCCGGACCCCAGCGTCCGGTGTCCACTGCAAGACCAGCGCGCCCGTTGGGAACGGAAACGCATCTGCACCGCCCGAGAGCTGCTTGAGACCGAACGACGCTATCAGGAGCAACTGGGGCTGGTGGCCACGGTGTGGGGCGGGGACCCCCGGGTGCGGGAGGGTGTCTGCGAGGTTGGTGATCGGGCTCGCGTATGAAGAATCCTCGGACCGACCTGTACAATTCCCAGCAGCACCTTGACGTTAGTTCCCTTTTCCTCCAGACTATGATGCTGACATTTTCTCCTTTCCCAGTATTTCATGGGGATCCTGCGAGCCAAGGGGACCCTGCGACTCCCAGAGCGCCAGGCTCTGTTCGGGCCCTGGGAGCTCATCTATGGAGCCAGCCAGTGAGTGAAAGGGGAGAGGGATGAGGGAGAACCCTGGGCTCTGGCTGTACACTGAGCTTGCAAGCCCGACAGACCTAAGTTCATATTCGGAATGGGGCCAGTAAACTCATCTGTCACTTTGACCTAGGACAGTAACCAGCTCTAATTTCGCCAGGTGTAAAATTGGATAACCGCATTACTTTCAAATAAAATGCTTGACTAATTCCTGAGCTGCGTGTTTATCTTCGCCCGCCCACACAGAGATCTACTTCCCTACCTGGAAAGAGGGCGCTGGGGACAGGGACTGGAGGGCTTCTGCCCCCACTTGGAGCTTTACACCCAATTTGCTGCCAACGCAGAGAGATCTCAAACTACCCTACAGGTAACCTGGTGATGACTCCTGATCTTTCCTTCTTCCCGCACACATTTCTTCATCCTCCGCACTACTTGTATGGACTCAAGGATGTCAGAAATGACAAGAACTGTACAGGATAGGGCAAGGCTCAGATACAGGACTGATTCAGTGACTGGAGTAATGGGGTAGGTGTGACAATGAGATCGGCACAGGATAAGGCAGGGTTTAGGGATGTTGTACATAGGGTCACTGTGAGTCGCAGGGGATTTGATGGCACATAACAACATGAGTAATAATCGATTTGATGACACTTAACAAAGGTGTCCAGGTAGCTGACTGAACCCTGAGGAGAGACAGGATTTCCTTGGCAGCACACAGCCTACTGAAGGGTGGGATTGTGTACACAAATGAAAGGGATGGCTTTTCTCTACTGTCAACACATGGTCCTCCTCCCTCCCCCGCCTCAGGAGCAGCTGAAGAAAAACAAACGTTTCCGAAGGTTTGTGCAGCTTCAGGAAGGACGGCCTGAGTTTGGGGGGCTTCAGCTCCAGGATCTACTCCCTTTGCCTCTGCAGCGACTCCAGCAGTGAGTGAACTCGCCCTGCCTCAAACTCAATGCCGACTCATAGCTGACATTCCAGTTGAGTTTCTCCAGGGCTGTAAATGTCAATTGAGGAGATTGCCTTTCTCCTTTAGAGCTACTGGTAGATTCAAACTGCCAGAGAGGTGGAGCTTTTGGGTTCACAGCTCAACTCCTTAAAAACTCCCTTCACCAGAGTTCCTTTCACTCTGACTCAAGCCAACCTCTTTTGCTAAGTCTGCTGCCTTCAGCGTTGGGGTCAGTCTTAAACCACCTCTTTCCTGTGCCAATTTGCTCTTAACCACCTAAAAGCAAACATCAAATCTCTGGAGTAACTGTTCTGCATCTCTGCATCCTTGGACCTTAGCTGGCACTGCTGAGGTGAGGGGCTGTGGCATTGCAGAACTGAGGGGCTGGCTTAGCTCCTAATTTTTGTCCCTGGGGTTAAGAGTTTGAAGTCAGTGTAGTCTACAGCATCTTTTGTGGTTTGACTGTCTTTCATTTACTTTTCATCTTGGTCTGATCTGACTCAAGTCTACCCTTTTCAGTGTGGGATGGAGAAGGGCATAAACATGTGATGTGCAGATTCTGAGTCCGAGATAAAAGAGCAGAATACACTAGATAGAAGCAGATCTTTTCTGGCTTTACAGCTCAAGTATGTGTAGGGGATGATGTCTAAGCCAGGCAGGTAAGATTGTGTTCAGTCCTCTTTCCCTTCATGGTTGCCCCACTGTCCTAATTCCAGGTATGAAAATCTCGTTGTTGCTTTGGCTGAAAACACAAGCCCCAACAGCCCGGAGTACCAACAACTTGCAAGTATGTTCCTGCTCCTCCACAGCTCATGCGGCTTCTCCTGCACCCCCTTTCTAGTTCTGGCCTCTAATAATGTTACATCCCTATGTTCCATTGATGTGTATTGTTGTGTTCAAGAAATTAGACCTTGCCCCTGAGTCTCTGCAGAATAGCCACTTTTAGTTATTTTTACTAGTTTTTAGAAGTTCTTTGCCCCCTTTCCCCTTTAAGTTGGGAATATAAGTTGAAGCGAGTGCTTCCATTTTGCTGCCCTTCTGACACTACTTGAATATCAGTGTAGCCACAGAATCCCTCAAAGTTGTGATGGGAATAGGACAAGGGCTGTTATTCTAGGGGCTGCCCGACTGATCAGTGAGACTGCCCAGCGGGTCCATGCTATTGGCCAGAGACAGAAAAATGACCAGCACCTCCGGCGAGTCCAGGCTTTGCTCAGTGGACGCCAGGCAAAGGGCCTCACCTCAGGTAGTCATACTTTCCTCTTAGCCCTCAACTGCCCCTTTCCTACTCTTTGTGTTAAGTTTCTTAGGGCTGCTATGACAAACTACTACAAACTGCTATCTTAATAAAGTTTATTCTCATTAAAATATCAATAAAAAAAGAGAACCCCCCCCAAAAAACAACAACAACAAAAAAAACCCAAAAACTCAACAACCAAACCTCACAAAACAATAGAAGTTTATACTCTTACCGTTCTGGAGACTATCAGTCAGAAATAAGATCAGCAAGGCCATGCTCCCTCTGAAGCTTCCAGGGGAAGAATCATTGTTTTTTCCAGCCACTAATGCTCCCAGGTGTTCCTTGACTTTTTAGTCAAATCACTTCAGTCTCTGTTATAGTCTTCATGTGGCCTTAATTTCTACATGTCGGTGTTCTCTTCTGAAAATACTGAATTTAGGACTTACTCTAAGCCAGGATGATTGATTCTTGAGATTCTTATTTCCAAGTAAATAAGGTCACATTCTGAGGTCCCAGTGGACAGGAATTTTGGAAGATGCTACTCAACCAACTCGAGATCTTTCTGCAGAGCTAGAACCTATCCCCATCTCAGCTGCTGTGGCGCTGGGGCTGCATGATAACAATTTGCCCACCTCCTAGGGCGCTGGTTCCTACGTCAGGGCTGGCTCCTGGTAGTCCCTCCCTGTGGGGAGCCTCGGCCTCGTATGTTCTTCCTCTTCACGGATGTGCTCCTGATGGCCAAGCCTCGACCCCCATTGCATCTGCTGCAGAGTGGCACCTTTGCCTGCCGGGCCCTCTACCCCATGGCCCAGTGTCAACTCCACCGGGTCTTTGGTCACTCAGGAGCCCCCTGTGGTGGACTGCTTAGTGTAAGTAATGGAAGACCATGAGGTAAGGTTTGGGAGACCCAGAATATACCTCAAACCCCTCCCCTATGAATCGTATTACCTTCTTGGTCTGGGTTCCCTTTTAGAGGAATTAGTCTTCTACACAGAGAATAGCTGGGGTTTGGGACTCAAAGCTAGTTCTCACTTCATCTTGGAAACAACAAAGGCTCTCGCATTAGTCTGGAACTTTCTAGTCCAGGTAGTAAGAGGCGGTCTCTTCCTAGCTGTCCTTCACACATGAGAAGCTACTACTTATGTCCACAGACCAGGAGGAATTGTCACGCTGGTACAACAGTCTGACTTTGGCCATCAGGTAAGCTGGGTCAGGAGAGCCCTGACAGGCCCTTAGCTTTAACCACCCTGCTGCAGTTCTCGTCCTGTCTCATGTCTTGGCAGTTTGGAAAATGCCAACCCCAGGAGTGATTTTTCTCTGAATAGAGTGCTCTTGCCAGTGCTTCAACTGTTTTCTCTTTGCAGCAGCCAGAAGAAATAGAAGATTCTACAGAAACCAGAATACCTCAAGACACATCAGAGCCAGGAGTTACAAAGGAATCTGCTTTAGTATAAACACAACAAAGAACTCTTCATAGTTCAAGGAGGATCATTTGGTGTTTGCCTGGAACCAAGCCCAGCCATCTCTTACACAGATCTGATGGGAGCTCTGGTGGCATAGCCCAGAGGGATTTTCACTACTAATCCAAAGGCCATACCTTTTTGGCAGTTTGAATCCACCAGCTGCTCTGAGAAAGAAAAATAGGCAGTCTTCTCTCATGGGATCTACAGCCTCGAGAAACCTGCTGGAGGTTCAGCTATGAGTCGGTTCTCACTAGATGAAAATGAATATGAGTTTTTTTGAGTTTAACCAGATCTGACCTCAGTTCAACCGAAGTGAACCTTAGCTGAACTGGCCACTCCCACACAAATGAGACTGGAGGCTCATTAGCTCAGTTCAGAGGAGCTCTAGTGGCCCAGTTATTAAAGGGTTTGTCAGTGGTCTGAACCCACCAGCTGCTCTGGAAGAAAGCAGTGGCAGCGTGCTTCTGCAAAGACCTGAGCTTCGGAAACCCTATGGGACCGTTCCACTGTGTGTGTGTTGTAATCGACGTGGCAGTGGTGGGTTTGGTTTTAAGCTTTCTGATGTGTCTACAGCCAGTCATTTATCAGGATTTCTGCCTTATAAACATGGCTACTTTTATGTTGTATATATTTCTATAATTTATTTTGCCACTGGATTTAATAAAGTTTGGTTGGGGTTCTTTAAAAAAGGCGTTTCTATTGTATATATCAAATATGAAGAGATTTTTTTTCTGCCCTAAAGTTTGGCATGACCATAGTTTCAGAAATAAAGGAAAAGAACTGGAGCTCCCCCTACCTTCTTGCCTTCACCCTGGAGGGCAGCCTTGCTTTGTCCTAATAAGGGAAGCTTTTTAAGAAGGCCCAGTTGGCCTCAGGCACCTAGTATGGTGTGTGTACACCAGCTGGAATGGAAAAAGCACTCAGGAGCTCCCAGTCACAAGAATCAGCTTTGTTTTACTGCAACTTCAGCTGCTGCTCCGCCTTCCTTCCCAGCTGGGGCTGTGATGAGAGCCCACAGCCATGGTGCTTCTTCTCCTTAGCCCCGGCTCCACTTGCCAGGGCGTAGGTAGGCTCCATGTCTCTGGGTTCCAGTGTATGGGCTCCTCCCAGGCCTGACTGTCACCAGCTGCCTCAGTACTTAAGTCCTCAGAAAAGGGCAGGCTGACCTCTGAAAGGAGAAAGATCAGGTATGTTCCAGTTTCACACTTTGTCTCCACCTCCACCAGACCCTCACCTCCAACCTTTTACCTGGTTCTGGAACCTCCATGCCCTTGTCCGGCTTGTGCTCTTGTAGCAGCTGGTGAATGGTCTGTAGCTTCGTGTTCAGAAGCTTCTGCTGTGCTCCAGCCAGAGTAGTCACGCTGCAGAAATGTCCACTTAGGGGCTGTCCACCTCATGTCCCCACCCCTCCTACTTGCCCCCACTTCACCTAGTCACAAGATTGTTACTCTCCTCACCACTCAAAAAGGGGGTCTAGCTGGGCCACTAGGCTGTTGAGGTGCTGCTCTGTCTGAGCCAGCTGTTCTGTCAACTGCATGAGCTGTTGCTCTGGGGATAAAGAAGGACATGGTAATGGTCAATTATGCACCCTAATCCCCCCACCAAAACCAGACTTCTGCAAAACCCACCTGACCGCGATGATTCCGTGCTTGCCTCCTTTTGGAGAGCTGCAGCCTCATCTTTTCCCTGCAGTGGAAGAAAGAAAGGGCTGAAGTGCAGCAATCAAGTCCTCTCCACCACTTCAGCTTTCAAAGCCAGTGAGACTATTTCCAGTAGTGAAAGCTACTGATTTTTGCCTTAATGAATCAAGTATCTAAAGCAGCTCCTCACCTAGGGCATGAAGGATAATGCCTATTGCCCAATAAAAACAGGAAGCACAAGCTTACCTGTCCTTACTAGCCTGTAAACAAATCCACAAGGGTTTTACCACATCTTTAAAATCTTTGTGAAAAGGTTTTACTATGGATTAGTAACTAAGTGCAAGTAAGCCCATGCTTCCCTAATGTACTGAGTAATTCATGTCTGTCCCGGAGTTGAGTGACCCCAGTTTGATTCAACTTTGGTTGTTCTTATGAACACAAAATCAAAGTTTATCCATGTATCTTCATGACATGGTGCTACTTAATCTTCCAAAATAATGTCTCTTCAATGTGACAGCCCCTCAAGAATTTGAAGGCACCAGTCATACTCTCTCTAATTTCCTCGCATCTCACCTTGGTTTAATAGCTCCAGTTTTTCTAGTCAGTGCTTATCTGACCCTGTTTGTCAGGGTCCTTTACTCTTGAGAATATACCTGGAAAAGAATTAAATTCCCCAGGAGAGTTTGGAGCAGCAATGGAAGCACAAACACCTTGTTCCTACCACTGAGGTGGGAAATGGCTTGTCACATCTCGCCTAAGTCACTTTCTGGGAAAAGTATAGGTCAGCTCAAGAGAGGAAGACCCTTTATGGGATGGATTGATATAGTGAGAAAGAAATGGACTTGAGCACAGCAAAGACCAGAAGGATGGCACGGTGGGGGCAAGGCTCAGGGCCCTGTGTTGTTCACAGGGTCGCAATGAATTGTAATCAACTTAATGACACCTAATAATAATTCTCTTCCAGAGATAACTAACTCCTGTTTCTTCCAGTTGGCAACTGGGTCGATGAACAGAATGAAATCTATTCGTGTTAAATTTCATCATTAAACTCAGCTCCTCATTCTAGCCTGTCAAATTTGATCACGCCAATTAGCTATCCCTTCTGGCTTTGCAGTTTCCATCCACCAAAATGTACTGTCAGCTCTCCCATTTCAAAGTCTTTCCCAAGGAGAACATGAGCCGGATACACCATGAACACCAGAAACACTGGTTACAGCAATCATCAAAGGATCAAGCCAAGGTTGTTGTAACCTTCACCATGAACCACGCTCATCCCGCGGGCACTGTTACTGTCAGGTGCTGTCTGGTCGACTTCGACTCACAGAGACCTGATCTGAACCCTGCCCTTTCCTGTACCCTCCTTATCATCTCTGATACACTTGAACCCAGTATTTCAGTCACTGAGTCAAGGGACCGAAATGTCTTCGTTTTACAGACTGCGGGCAGATGTGTCCTAGGCACCCCCACCCCTGGCCGTCCCGTACCTGCAAACACTTGTACAACACAAAAGCCACGACGGCCGCAGTGTACAGAGCGCCCAAAGGCAGTGCTCCAGCTCGGGCTCGCTCGCGCCGGTCCTTCGGTGGCGGTCGAAGCCGGGGTTCCACGGCCCCAGGGCCGACCTGGGTGGAGATCCCTGGGGAAGGCGGGCAAGGGCGGGTGAGTAGAGCTGGAGTCCAAAGCCTCGCGCAGTGCCAGCCTCCCTTCACAACCTTCCCTGGTATACCTGGCTGTGCCCGGGCGTCGGGCCTGGGGCGGTCTCCAAGGAGCGCGGGCAGCTCAAACACGAGTAGCAGTCCCAGCACGCCCCAGAGGGAGACCCCAGCAGACATCACGAAGCTGGCAGAGGAAAGCAGCCGCTATGCACAAGGATTCCTGCGGCTACCAGGCGCGCCAGTACGCACGCGCATACGCGCAGTCCCGTTCTCCGCCCCTACGGAAAGCCACGCCCATCTACTATGCAGGCGGGGCCCAGGTTATTTGCATAAGAGGGTTGGTGTTCCTAAATTAGTTCATTTTTTAATCTAAAAACATTATCCAGGATGCTTTCTGGAAGCCTAAGTTCTAGAAAATTATTGTTTAAAGGATTTTTACAAATTTTTACACAAATAACTTTATCACCCTAAGTGTAAAATAAATTTCTTTTTAGCCCTATAAAGGTTAAGATGTGGGCTGTGTGTCTTGTAGCTCGTGCTGAATGCCTGTTTCCTAGGCCACAAACGGAGGACTTGTTCCTCGCTTTCGTACCTAGGGGAAAGTCCCCGGACCCCTGGCAGAGAGTGCCACATGTAAGCGCATGTAGACCACCCCACCTCTCACACTAAGCCCGCCAAGACGCAACCCCACCTGGGCGAGCTGAGCGGCGTGACGGAGGGGCGTCATCCGTCAAAGTGATAGTTACTCAGGCAGTGCGCGAAAGCGCACCAACAAAACGGGGCTTATTCTCAGCGCGGCTCGCTTTTGCCATCTTTCTTTTCTTCATTTTCGTAGTTCTTTTCTTTGCTTGGAGGGCAAAAGGTCCCTCTATTAAATCCCACAGATTTAAGAGATTTGTGCTCACTGTTGCTAGGTTTGCTGTGTGTTTCCCCCTAATATTTTCATTGGTTTGCATACAGTCATTCGTATACATTGCTTTATGCATGTGTATTCATTGATTGTATTTTAAACAGTCTTTTAAGGAGATCTGGTTGCCTACATAGTGTTATATACAATCATTTATCTACATTGTATATCATTAATTACTATTATGTCAATTATTATCCCATCTTTTCAAGCCTCCATAGAATCTTTCCTATTCCTTCACACACACACACAACCATCCATCAACTAATCCCTGCTAGCCTAGTGATCTCCCTCTTTCTCCGCCCCCTTCTCCCTTTCTCGTTTCCCTTTTGAACTTTTATGCACATCTTGCTCTGTTATCTGTTATTCTTCTATTTTTGTAATAGTGGTCTATAGTGGTCTATATAGTATTTATGAGACTGAATTATTTCACTCAGCATAAAGTTCTCTAGACTGAGGTTTCTCAGGCAGCTGGTGGCCTAGTCCGGAAAGAGTTCCTCTACCCTAAAGACTATGTCATTTTCTTGGAAGTTCGAATCCACCAGTGGACCGGAGGAAGAGCAGAGTAAAATGACAATGGAAATATGTCTACATTTTTAATGTTTACAAGGATTCTATATCATATTTTATCATGTAACAGAGGAGAGTTTAAAAATTTATTTATAACGGGGTCAAATGTGATGAAGAATGATACTGATACTTTGTAAACATTAAAAACAAATTTTCCATTTTAAATGCCTTGATTTATTAATTTTTGTTGTTAATCATAAGCCCTGGCTATCAAAACTTTGTATATATAATTATGCCAATATAAAAAAGTAATAGATGGGCTAATAAGACTTACATTTTGTGCTTTTTATTTGTTTTTGAGTACAAGAGTGAAAAACATATATTGGTTTGAGTGATGAATAATATTACAATTTTTGGTTTTGATCCTTCTAACATTTATCTTTGCATAGTCAATAGACAATGTAGCCAGATTGTGCCACATTTCTCTCATAGTTGATCAAACACTTTTTATTAATTTCTGTTCAAGGAGTTTCTTTTATATGAATCAAGAGACATGCAACTAGAGAAAATCTTTACCAGAAAGATAACAAGGATTCATAAAAATCCCATTTCACATTTTCAAAAGTGTTAAATAAGAAAAGTCCAACAATGAATGACTGGAAACCCTAAGTCTCTGTAAGCTTTCATTAAAATTAATTGTAAAAAAAGTGTTAAATAGAAATTAGCATTCCAAGTGGTCATATACAATGTCAGGCTCTAAGAAGAGAAAGTTTCATTTTTTTCAACTTTCAGCCACACTGCTACCATTGTTTATTCTTCACCATTATTTAAATCTCTAAGTTAAACAAAGGAAAATGTGAACCTGATATGAAGACTGGCAACAGAAATTGTGCCCATAGTGTACTTGACCAGTTTCAAATCATTAAGAATTAATTCTAGAAATGAACAAATGAAATCACATGTATCAGGGGCAGATAGTCTAGTGTATGTTCTCTCAATTAACTTCAATATAAATGGCAATATTTATGAAAATATAAGTAATAAAAGCATGCTCATTCAAAAGTTATGTATTGTTAAAATGCGACAGGGCCCTCAGATTTTTAGAACTTAAATCTACAAGATATTTTTCAGCGTACTTTGTCACTGGTATTTTTAGAATTATTGGTACTTGGTGACAATAAAAAGGCAGCTGATTTTTAGTTGGTTTTAACATTTTCTACAGACAATGCATTCCATTATTTCCTTCAATTGATGGAGAAGAACCATCTTCATCCTTGGCACACTGCACCAGTGAATTTCTATTCAAATATATATGTAAAATAAAATGCATTTCTGATCTCTGGGCTAAAGTTTATATTTAGAACTGTCAATCTCTCTTTTCTCTCAGTCAGTAACCTCCCGTGTGTGGTGCACGCTCACTGAGGCATGGAAGATACCCCACCCCCTCAAGTGAGAGTGCAGATAGGGCCCGGTTTTCGGGGCAATACTGAGGCAGAGGTTTTTTTAAGATCAAGTAATTACTACAGGTGACAGTTCTTAAGGACAATCTCGATGAAGGTGGGTGGGAGGGAGGAGCATCTAGTTCCCACCCTTCCACCAACTATAATCTCGAATGAAAAGTGTGGAAAAAACCAAACCAAAACACATTTCCCTCAGCTCAGTTTTAGGATGATGGGATTGGAGATGCCTGGAGGCTTCTCCTCCCCCGTTCCACTTTCTAAAACACTTAACAATTAGTGAGATGTGCATTTTCTTTCATGATGCTCTGAACAGGAGAAATAGTAGACACTCTTTGACCAGAGGTGACTCTATGGCCTGGTGTCCAGCCCTTTTGGCCCTGCTTCACCCCATTAAAGTCCTCCTGGGCGAGTCACCCATCCCTCTCCAGAGTCTTCATGGGCTCATTTGCACAGTGGCCCAGTATCCTCAGGCCCACTCATTCGTCTCTTAGGCTGAAGGGGATACACAGTCCCAAAGGTGCAGCTCTTGGGAGCTGCAGGAGTGGCGCAGGTGCACGGTGCAGGGCGGTGTCTTTGTTCTTTCACTCAATCCTTCCCCTCCCTCTTCCTCCCCGGAAACCAGTGACTTTGACACCACCAGTATTGGGGATGCTGAACTGTGGGGCTCTGGCCCAGGGAGGGGTGGAGTAAGAGGGGCTGAAGCAGCCGCCAGACCATGAGCTAGGCTGACCTCTGGACTCAGGAACGGTGCTTGTGTTCTCGATTTTCACATCAGCAGCAAGTCATGTCGACTGGGAGTGGTGGTGACAACTGCACGGATCTACTAGCATCGGGTGAGCTAGGCGAGGCAGTGGGCCCCTAGGGGAAGGTCATGTGGTCCATCCCACCTGCCCAGAGCTGAGAGGTTGGACTGGGCAATACCTCCCCTCTTCTGCCCACAGGAATCCCCTCCATTGGCAAGGCCTGGGGATTATGGATCATCTTAGGGGCTGTGACGCTGCTACTTTTCATCTCGCTGGCTGCACACTTGTCCCAGTGGACCAATGGCCAGAATAAGAGCCATTCAGGGCAGGAGCGGTGAGTGTGGGACAACCCGAAGAAGGGCCGATTAAGGGTTCCGCCACTCACTCCTCAACTCTGTGTTGCAGCTCTGGAGGGCCGACGGAAGAGGCCCCACTCTACGGGAACTTGTATTATCTGCAGACAGGTAGGGAACTGGCAGTGCAGGGACATAGGGACCAGGGAGGTAGGGCAAGAGGAGGAACAAGAAACTGACCAGACTCCTGACCCCTGTCCCAGGACGGCTGTCTCAAGAACCAGAGTCAGAGCAGCAGCAGGATCCAGCCCCAGCGGGCCCCACCAAGGTGAGTCAGCTGGGGTTGAAGAAAAGGGCTGGGAAGGAGGTGGCGGGCTCAGTGAACTAACAGTTTTGCATCTCCAGGCTGCAGAGGACGTGATGTGCTACACCAGCCTGCAGCTTCGGCCTCCTCAGGCCCGGGCCCCCAGCTCCGGGACCCCAATTAAGTATTCAGAGGTAATGCTGGAATCCGAGCCAAAAGACCAGGCCTCAGGCCCCGAACCAGAGCTCTACGCCTCAGTGTGTGCCCAGACTCGACGCACAAGAGCTTCCTTCCCAGATCAGGCCTACGCCAACAGCCAGCCAGCACCCAGCTAAGGTGGAGGGCTGACTTGGAGGCTTATCTCAGCCTCCTCAGTTGCAGGGGTTGCAACCTTGGGTGGGGCATGGTGATTATTCCACCCCCTAGTGGGGGGGGGACCACTGTCCCATCACAGGGGGTGATCTTTCCCAAGCTTCTTGAACTTGAAAGAGGCATCTCAGAGAAATGGCAGGCCCCCAATTTCTGGAAGATAGAGGAAGCAAAGACAGTCTTCTCATCTCTTTTCCCCTCTCTGTTCCTCTCAGCCCCTCAACCCCCAGGTTCTCACTTCCTCCTCCTCCTGGAGTTGAAGCAGAGCCCCCCACTCCTCCTTCACAGTCTGCTCCCCAGACCTCATTGTCTTTGTAGGCACAGGAAGTGAGCAGTGCTGAGGTGTAGAACCCCAAGTACATGGGTGGCTATAGTGTTTGGGAGCCCACAGATGGGAAGGGTCCTCTAGCCCAGGAACCTAAGGAACGCAGGCCTGTTCTAACCTGGGAACTCTGGGAGGAGAACACTAGCCTCCACCCTGCTGCTTCTGTTGTGCCACCACGTTTTCAAATAAAACTTCTCAAAAAGCATTTTGATTTTTTTCTGGAGAGGGGTATAACAAGCCTCACAGTTTGGGGGAACATGCTTTGCTCTTTACACAGTGCTCCTGGGGGTGACTGAGTGAGGCACCCCCCCCCCAATGGCTGCCATATCTGCAGGGGTCGGTGCTGGGGGTGGAAGCTTGGAGCCCAGCTCTTGGCTACTTTTGCTGCTGCTGCTGCTGCTAGAATGTCCTCAGGATTTGCACTCCAGGTCACTGCACTCCTACCAACTGGGGCGAATTCATTCGAAGCTACTCCACCTCCCACTATCTGGGGCCTGCAAGTTCCCCAATCCTGTAACTACTATCCCCAGGACCTCTGTAAATTCACTGCTGCACCGCCCTCAACCTGGGAGCCTAGTTCTTCCATAAGCTTCTCCCACAATCCTCCTCCCTGGGCCCCCATGAGTCCCACCTATACCCCTGCATTGACATCAGCACTGTCACTTTTCCCTCTGTCATCTGTACACCTCTCCTGGCCCTCTTTTCACCCTATCTCTACTTTGCTCTCAGTTGTCACCCTCTATCCTGACAATAGCTTTTCTTGTCACCACCTTTATTTTAATTTGGGAATTAAGTCTGCTTTTCCTTCTTATCTACCAGCCCACTCACACCTGCTTAATTCTTAACCCCAGCCAGCTCTTAACACTATACATAGCATTAGGCAAGTTTGCACAGTAGCCATGACTATGGACTTGGAAGGTAGGCTGCCTGAGTGAAAAATCCATGTCCACCACTGATCAGTTCAAATGTTTTTGAGCAACTAAACCTCACTTTACAAAGCTGCAAGATAAGAAGTGTTTATGGTATCTGTTTTTGAAAGGTGGTTGTAAATATAAGCATAAAGTGCTTAATAAACAAGTGAGGGCACAGTAATGCAAACTATTATGAAGAATAGGAAGCTCTGGTGGCTTAGTTGAAAGGAATTGCACTGTCAACCCAAAGGCATGTGGTTCAAATCCACCACGTGCTCCAAGGAGGAAAGATGGCCAATCTCCTCCTGTGTGATTCACTCTCTCTGAAAACCCACTGGAGGGTCAGCTATGGGCCAGTTCCAAGTTGACACTATAACAGTAACAATTATTAAGAATAAGTATAGGACTTTCTATAGGCTTTCTCTGGTGGTCTCATCCATAGAGAGACGAGCTGCTAATCCAAAGGCAGCATCTCTAGTGGTTGGAATCCCCCAGCTGCTCCAAGGGGGAAATATAGGCAATCACTTCCTTTGTGATTTATAGATCCTGAGAACCTACTGGAGGGTCAGCTGTGAGTCAGTTCCAACTGACTCATATCCAATGAGGTGAATAAGGTATAGGAGTTCATAGGTTAAGTGACCCATAAGCAGGGACAGGATGCATTAAGAGTTTGCCAGAAAATGTTTCTGAGACAGTCACAAGGAATAGGATAGACTTCTTTGGCCAAACTGTTCATTTGCATATCTAGAGAGTTTAGTGAGGTGGGGAAAATAAGACCAAAGTGATGAACAGAGGCCAGATTCTACAGTCTGTAAAGCATGTTCAAGAATTTGGACTTTAGAGTCCAGAATGAAGGTTGCATAGTGGAGTGTACTCAGGCTGGGGGGTGGGGGGGGAGGGATTGCAGGGAGAAAAGTGCAACAATGAATGAATGGAAATCCAAAATCTCTGGAAACATTAAAATGTTAAAAAAAGAATTTGGGCTTTATCCTGTAGGTGTAAACGAAGGGGAGTCACTAAATGTTTTTCAGCAAAGGTTGGGGAGTTTTATAGCTGCTGTTTCAGTTTGGAGGCAAGCAGAACTGAAGTTGGGGAGATAATTTCTCAGGGAACTGTTGCAATCATCTATGTGAGATGAAGTGGTGACAGAGACAGTAGAACTGGAAAGGAAAGAATGCTCTACAAAGATACATGGTGGTGTTTGTTGTCACTCAGCCACTCAGTCAACCACGATTTACAATAACAGAAACCTTGTCCTATCCTCTGCCAACCTCACGATCTCTGTCCTCTCAGGCACACCACTGCAGTCACTGGTCTATCAATCTCATTGAGAGTCTTCCTCTGTTTCACTGTGCAGAAAAAAAGGACAACTCCTACATATCACATCCTCGACTTCTCTGGTTAGTTTGGACCTCCCAAACCTCAGTACTTCTTCCAGGGTCCAGGCACCTCAGTCTCATCCACCAATGCGCTGCCTTCCCATCTTCACCAGGATCACCCCTCGCCCTAGAAATAGCTGGGGGCCTAAGGGCTTAGCTCCAGGGGTGGGGGTGGGGGAATAATCCCAGTCTGAACAGGAAGCTTGAAGGAACATCTATCTGTAGAAGTAGATTTGACTGGACAGTCCCTTCTGGGGATAGCTGAAGCCTTCACCTCCAGACTTCTTGAATTCCCACTTAGTGTTGCCCAGAGAACAAAAAGCAGAACATTCTGCGTCTTGGGCCCCCAGGTGGTTCCAGGGGAAAGTGGGCCCTTCAAGGGCTCTAACCTTCCTCAGGAAGGGCCCTGTCAGTTAAGGGCTGACAGCTGGGCTGTGTGGGCGGGAGGGTGGCTCTTGGGGGCAGGTACCGGATGCGGGGAACCACTGTCAGCGGGATGTGGGGTTCTGGGCTGTTGTGCTCCAGAAGACCTCTCAGAATTATCTGCAGGCTGGGGGCGGCGCGAGCGCTCGACCTTGGCAGAGATGGGATTGGGATCCCGCAAACTCATAGGGACGTGAAATTCTCAGTATCTGGCACTTCCAACTCAAGTCCTGGGAGGGACACCCAGGCGTGGCCGACCGGGGCCCGCAACACTCGCGGACTCCGCCCACTCAGGCGCAAGTCCCGAGCGCCCTCGCTTGGCAAAACAGGACATCACCCACCACCTCGGCACCAGCGTCGCTCTGCGTGCCCCGCAGCATCATGGGAGATGTAGTCCAAGGACTCAGCGGAGCCCCAGAGAGCCTTAGGCCAGGCTGCCTGGAGATTTCTTAGAAAATCATAGCTTACTCTGGAATGGGCCTTTAAAAAGTTGTTTGTCCCCTTTTCCTTATGAATCAGGGTGAAATCTCTCTCAGTGGCAAACGGCACAATGACAAAGGAGATTAATCAGAACTGGTTTTGACAAGCACTGTGACAATGGGACAATTAAAACAGACTTTCAAGGAAAAAAAAAAGAGAGGAACGAACTGGAGGAGGGGTAGAGAAAATAGCGCAATAATGAATGAATGGAAATCTAAAATCTCTGTAAATATTCATTTAAATTAATAAAATAAAATTTAAAAAAAATTAAAAAGTTGATTTTAAGTTGAATATCTACAAAATGGTTTTTCCACCACTCTTTAATCAGTTTGTCCCACATTTCAGGTTTGTGTATTGGCTGTGATCCTGGAAGCTATACCACTATATTTCAAACACTACTAAGGACACCCATGCTGGATTGAGTTTAGCAGAGCTTCCAGACTAAGATAGACTAGAGAGAAGGGCATGGCATCTAGTTCTTCGAAAACTAGTCAGTGAAAACCTTCTGATTAGCAGTGGAACTCATATAATGAAGGCAGATGAGCTGGAAAAGAGGTGCTGCTTCCTCAAAGTAAAAAGTCAGGAAATCAAAAGACAAATTGCTCTGGGAAAATCTACTGTTGGGAACCTCTCCAGAGTACTGAAAAGCAACCATGTGAGTCTAGAGATTAAGGTGCGTCTAATCCAGGCTATAGTCTTCGCAATTACTTGCAATGCATCAGAGAGCTGGATGATGACTAAGCATGATAGAAGAAGAATTGATGCCTTTGAGTTGTGGTGCTGGAGAAGAGTCTTGAACATATGTGGACCACCAAAAAAAAAAACCCCAAATAGGTCTGTCTTGGAGAGGGTGAAACCAAGTTTCTCCCTGGAGGCTAGGATTTTAGAGCTCCAACTCACACATTTGGGGTCGTGGCCAGAAGGGACCTGTTTCTTGGAGAAGGACATCATGCTCAGAAGGTGGAGGGACAGTGCAGGAGAGGAAGATCCTGGTTGAGATGGATTGATACAATAACTGGGGCAATGGGGGTAGGTGTGTTGGAGTCAGTGAGACTGGCTTAGGACAGGGCAAGCTTCAGAGCTGCTGTATATAGGATTGCTATGAGTTGCAGGTGACTTTATGGCACATAACAACAACAACCACTACCACCATCTCAAAGTAGAGTTGACTTTAACACATGAATGGGATAAATCTTTCAGGACTCTACCTTTGCTGAGATGGCACAACTGAAAATGAAGTGAAACAACTGCAAACCCTCAATAATAATAAAAAAAAAATTAACTCACTGCCATGGAGTCATGTACAGTTGACCCTCTATGGTGTTTCTAAGGCTATAAATCTTACTGTGAGTTGACAGTCCATCTTTTCTTCTACAGAGTGGCCAGTGGATTTGAAGATACAGCAGTTTGTTAGGCAATGCAACACTCTACTGGCTATACCACCAGCG